CTTTTCCCTGATTCGCCCCTCCTCGTCCCCCTCCCCCCGCACTGGGGGCCCAGGCGTCCGGGCCCCCCCCCACCAAGAGCGGCCGCGCTTACGACGCGTCCGGCGTTGCCTGGCAACGCGCTCACGTGGACGCCGTTACCTGCCGCCACGTTTGGCGAGAGCCGGATTGGCGGCGAGAGCGCACGTGACCGCGGCCGCCGCCTGCCGCCATGATGGGGAGGGCGAGAACCCAAGTGGCGCCGCTGCTGCCGCCATGTTGGGAAGGGCGCTGGGGGAACAAAGCCTGGTTGGGAAAGAGGGACCATCCATAGGGAAAAGGGCGGAAGGAGAGACGGAAACCCGCGGGAAACCGCAAGAGAGCAGCGCGAAGGAGCCTGCAAGGAGCCGAGACGTTTAGTACAAGAGTTTATTGCCCCCTGAGGGCACGTACAAACGAGGCTGGGCGGCCCGAGGGGGTTAGTTCACATGCGTTTAAAAAAGAGCTATCGGTACCGTTAAAACATTAAAAGCCCCAAACAAACAAACAAACAAAAACAAAAACAAAAAAACAACATGTCCAGGAGGTTTCCCACCGTCAGACACGGACGTGACGGCCACGCCGGACACGGACGTGACGGGGACGGAGAGGTTACCGCAGAGTCCGCACGGCGCGGCGGGAGCGCGCCCTTAGTCCGGGAGGGAAGCCCCCATGGATGCGCTTGGAAGACTGCAGGGGTCCGGAGGCGGCTGGTGCCGGTGCCGGTGCCGGGCCGGGCGCTCCGGCGCGGCTATGCCGGGAGCTCGGCGCTGCCGTGCCGCGCGCGCTCCTCGCCCACGGAGAGGTAGGTGGCCCGCATGCTGGGGGAATACTGCAGGGAAAGCCATGGTGAGCACCGGCCCCGCGCCCTCCTCCGCCCCTGGAAACCCGGGGCATCCAGAATCCAGCGCTCCGGACTCGTTTAGAGGCCAGGATGCTGCTTTGCCCCTTTCTTTCCCTTCCTCCTCTCAAATCCAGCCCTTGGCTCATCCTCAACGTTCCTGACACCCCCAAGGAGCCGGCGAGCGACTCCGCGCTGCTCCAGGGCCGATCCCCCATCTCCCCCCGCCCCAGGCAGGACAAGGAATTAAACATCTCCAGCGCTTTGCTGGGAGCGAGGAGCAAGCCCTGGCAGAGCATTAAGGAAGATTATTCCGAGTTTGTTATTTCGGAGCGCGCCAGCCCTTCCTCGGGGATGCGAATCCCGGCTGAACGCGCGGGCGGGGGCGCTCCGGGTAATCCCCGGCGCGGGATGCGGAGCCAGCTGCGAGCGCGGCACAAGCAGATTACAGGCTCCTGCACGCTCCCGGGCTGCACCTGATTGCAAAATTTTCCCCTTTTCCCCGGGGAAACGGAGCGCGGGAGCCTCCGGGGCCACGGCGTTGCCATAGCAGCGTGCCGGAGCCCGGGGTGCCGGAGAGGAAGAGGCTTCGGACACAGGCACTGAAGCAGAGGAACCGCAGGGGGCAAGGGAGGGAGCAGAGAAACTGTGCGGAGATGGGAGAAGGGGGAACGGAGAGGGATGCTGGAGGCAGCGAGGATGGTTCCTGTCCACCCCCTTCCTGGCTGTCCTGCTGGTGGGATTCCCAGCACAGCTCCCTCCTGGATCAAAACCCTTTGGGATCAAACACAGCCCCGTGTGATCCAGCCCCTCTCCCCTGCCACCTCCAGCATCCCCCGCAG